CATGTTGTACTCTCTAAATTTTTTGGAGTGAAATCTCTAAAGAATGAAAATTGAGCCAGTCACTCTCGAAAAAAAGATTTTCCTTGAAAGTTTTAGAAAGTATATAACAATTATTATAATGCTGAATAGGAAATTGTATTTAATGTTAATGTTATTTTTAATTAGTTTGTGTTCTGTGAGACCGATTAAGTTAATCAAAGTCCCTCAATTTCAATCAAATGATTAATGCTACATTTCTTCTTTTGTTTTCTTCGCATTTATAAAACGCCACCATACTAAACTTTGCGATCTACGTTGTTAAAATGAAAAAAATTGTTTTCATAATTAAGCTTTTTTCTTTTTTTTTTGGGTGTATAAATATGAAATGCATTATTATAAATTTACATTAAGCATCATAGATAGACAAGAATTAAACAAAAATATTTATTAAGGTCACGGAAAATGCGGCGTGGCAGTGGTGAGAATATCAGGAAGCCGTTCTCTAGACACACTGAAAAAGATGACAAGTATATCCAAGCTGGAACCGAGGAAAGCCTTCCTGCGAAAGATACGTGATCCAGAAACAGGAGAGGTCATCGACAATGGACTTTGCTTGTGGTTTCCCGGTGTGTGCAATTCTCGCACAATTCTTACCTTTTTAATCCTCTATCAATAACTAGAATTAAAAAACATCAGAATATCAGATTTTTTCAGAGTTTTATATAATCAGGAACAATAAAAAATTTGTTCTATTTCTTCAAAATATTGCTGATGGAAGAATTAAAATTCATGTTGTCAACGAAGAGTTAACACATTCAATGACCGGCATGCTTTTATTTTTATATTTTCTTATAAATTTAAAATTATAAGTACTCATATATTTTGCTTAGAAATTTGACATATAAATATTTTAGAAGAGTCTCTAAAGAATTGCAAGAGACTTGTCCGGAGCTGATTCGATTCTCCTTGAAATGTTGTTAAACACAAAAATTTAAGAGACATATTTTTTTATATCGATTCAATCTCACAATCAGATTTAAAAAATGTAAATGAGAGATGTAAACCTTTCGAAACTAGCGCTTATATTTAATTCTTATCGATTATCAACGACACAGTAAGTTATATAGAGAAATGTTTTAAACAAAACACTTTTTTAGTTTTTTTAATATTTTTTTTTAATGTGTGTATTTAGATTTTTCAACTCTATAAGAAGTTAATATTTTGAATACCCTCATCTTCATTAAGTTTTGAAGGTTTAATTCTTTAAATATCATATTGGGCCGATATAAAAATATATGTGGTTTTAGAATTTTGTGTTCAATAACATATTTCACGGAGAATCAAATCGTTTCGAATTGTGATAGGTCCCTTGTGAATGGCGACGAAAGAAATGAGGAACCTTCTATCACAGGAATGCCTCAAAAATCACATATCTGATTAGAACAACCGTTTGTAGGTCCGCATTCGTTCACCGGCGAGGACTCTGTGGAGTTTCATGTACACGGCGGATCAGCGATCCTGATGAAGCTGATGCAAGCCCTCTCGAGATTGCAGGTGCATCCGGCGTTGCCGGGTGAATTTACCAGACGCGCCTTCTATAACAATAAGCTGGATCTAACGGAAGTGGAGGGCCTGGCCGACTTGATAGAAGCCGAGACTGAGTGTCAGAGGAAGCAGGCGCTGCTACAGGCTGATGGTATTCTGCGTAAGCTGTACAATAGCTGGCGGAAAGTGCTTTCGGAGTCCGTGGCGAGTATCGAGGCGTACATCGACTTCGGTGAGGAGGAGAACATCGAGAATGATGTGATACACAACGCACACCATGCTCTCAGACAGCTGATGCGGGAACTGGAAGAACACCTGGCAGACGGCAGGCGTGGCGAAATTCTACGCAACGGAGTGAGGACCGTAATCATCGGTGAACCCAACGTGGGCAAGAGTAGCCTGCTGAATCGTCTGGTGCAGCGAAATGCCGCCATCGTCACACCCATCGCCGGCACCACGAGGGACGTCATCGAGCTGACCGCGAACATCTCGGGCTATCCTGTGTTGATAGCGGATACTGCTGGTATCACGGAGGACAGCGGGAATATCGTCGAAGCCGAGGGTGTCCGTCGAGCGAGAAGTCACGCGGAGAACGCTGATTTTGTAGTCGTTATGATAGATGCGTTGAAGTGCGCAACTAGTGGTTTGACTTATAAAGACTATATACGCGAATATCTGTCGTCATTGGGAATACAGGAGCTGCTGGCGAAAATCGGGAGAGAACGTTTTATCGTGATAGCGAATAAAAAAGATTTATTGAAGGAGGAGAAACGACACTTCGACGATGTTGAAACAGTTTTGATATCTTGTAGAACGGAGGACGGTTTTCAGGACTTGCTGCGATCGCTGACAGATCACTTCAGTAATATGTACGATAGAATGAACAATAATCATTAACACTTGCATTCGTGATAACATTATACATTCGTGGTAACATTTTGTTTAGATGCGGTAATCCATCCGCGGAGTGTCCAACCATCAGTCAGGCAAGACACAGAAATCACTTGGATCAGTGCTTGAGACATCTGCAAAAGTACTTCGAATTTTGCACCAACGAGCAGCACGATATGGCCATAGCGGCGGAGGAAATCCACAAAGCGATGCGGGAACTCGGAAGGATAACAGGACACGTTAGCACTGATGAAATATTAAACATTATATTCAAAAATTTTTGTATCGGCAAATAAAGTGCCGTTATTTGTATATAAAAAACATTTTTGTGTTTTCTTATAAAATACTTTGCAATTTTTTTTAAATTGCGATCAGATAAACGTCTTTATAAGCTATTTGTATTATATACATATAACAAACGGAAGTTGTTATATACATATAATAAACGGAAGATTGCAATGCTGAAAATGTATAACATTAAAACTATCGTTTTGAAAGATACATGGAACATCGGTTCCTTAGTTACATGGAAAAAACAGTTTTGTTAAAATATCTAGAGATCTTAGCGCCATGTCTCCTGATTTAGCTAGATACAGATCTAAAAATAATTTTGTTTGAATCAAAATAATAAGACGCTTAACTTGGGACTAGAATATTAAAATTTATTGCAGCGTTGCCATCAATATTGTTCTACATAATTATTTTGTTTAAAACAAAATTATTTTCAGGCCTGTATCTAAATTTTTTGTTACTTCAGCAAAACTATTCTGTCTGTTGAAGAGAGAAATTAAAGTACAAAGCGCAGTTATCTATATTCTATGCATTTTTTTTTAAATTACCTGATATTATGATTAAGCGTGATTAATTAGAACGCATTATGGTGGCGTGAAATAAATAGAAAGAAGGGGGCCTTCATAAGCATCGTATGTTTATTAACAATGTTACACGCACAATCATACATAGAACAACCTTTTGCCTGATTATAAGATATCGATACCCTGCGCGTTATACACCGATAGGGTTCCGTTAATGGTTTCAAGTCGTTATCTGTATGCCATGTCCGTGTTATATGCTAATTGCATCTCGTTATTATGACATTTATCATAATAACTCCGCTCGCTCTCGCAAAAAAAGGATCATTCAACTTGACGAAATAACGAAAGTAAAACAACTCGAGTGAGGGAAAGAGAAAAAAATAAAAAAAAAAAGAAAAGGAAATAAGTCGTATACAAAAATTCACTTTTTATGACTCGAACGATTCCTTTACAAATTTGTGATATTTGGAATAGAGAAAAACGTGTTTCTCTATTAAAAAAAAAAAAAGAGAAAAAAAAGAGATTCGAGTTGTATTATGATCGACCATTAAATGGTATTATTATAAAATCCGTTATGCAACTGCTAATGAAATTTTTTGTTTTCTAATTATACTTATCGCGTTAATTTCATTTTTACATTGACAGCGTCCAAATTTTAACAAATATATCTTTTTCATATTGTTTGCACGGTGACTCCTTATCTCTGCTGATTAAATTCTCACGATTCGTTGCGAGTCACCCGTGAAATTTTATGCGCGCAGCGAGAGATCACCAACGAATATGCTATTAATATAATATGATCAGTCCATATAAAGAAATCGAATGGCTTATAAATATATATAAAGATTTGGCGGATTCATCACGCGACTCATCACACTGCGCAGGATTCGTCGCTTATTCCTCCTATTTCTCCTGTGTCCCCTTTTTTTTTATATTATATAAATCCGATGTATAGAATCCTCAGAGAGTAGATTGCTCGTTTGTACAATTGCATACAATAGTTTGAGATCTATCCGAAAGCAAACTGACTCGCGCTGCACGTCCGAGACGCATTTATTACGAAGATCGTTTTCATTTTCTATCTATACATGTTCTATTTTCTTCCACTCAATTTTTTTTTTATATATAAAGCCTTAAATTATTATTACGCGAGATCATCCGATCACGCAAAAGAAGCAAAACTTTGCATCAGTTCTCTTTTTCTGCGGGACCGAACCAATCACGCATAACTTTCTCTATAATCCTTAAATGCTACTAAAATTGAAATTTCGTCCAATTCTTACGAAAAATCATAGTAGAATTTAAAGATTAATGCGACCTAGAATGAACCGCTTGAATATATCCGTGAGTAAATTAGAAAATTACTATATAATACGTAACATTCTTTTACATTTCAAATATAATAATTGAATATAAGTTTTTATAGAGTATAAACGAAATCCTGATTAGAAAAATTGATAAACGTAATTAGATGTAAAATTGAGATAAAAATCAATTATAGTATTACAAACATTTATATTTTTAGGTAATATTTCACGTTTAAAAGGCAGATCTGCGCAGGATCGGATACGGATGAACGCAAGCGGTTCAAAAGGTCCTTCGTACCGTGGCAGATACGAACGAGAAAAGAGAAACGAAAGAAAGTCTGTCGAGGATCGAATCGAAGACTGGTCGATTCCTTCTCTCGCCCCTAAATGATCCACTCTTCCCCGCATCGAGATAGACGTCCACATTCGTCCATTTCATTCTCCCAGTTCTTTCTTCATCTAACACATCTCTTGTACGATGGAGGATACGAGGAAAGAAAAGCGACAGCTCTATCATGACCTTCAAGTCAAAATTAAAAAAAAATTAAAAATAACATAATTTAAAGCTTTACATGAAAAGATATAAAAAAATATAGAACAATGGAAGATGAAAACGATCTCGAGGACAAGTCACGAACGTACTATAAAAGCGTAATGCAGTTTAAAAATGCAACATAAGTCAAATATTTTAATATATTATAATTTGGCTTATCATACTATATTCATAGATAAATTTGTTCGTGACTGATGAAATATATATATATATATATATATAT